GGTTAACACATATTTTGTACACTTATATACAGAGGGCGCTTAAACTGGACGAATATATTTAAAAAAAAATCGCCAACAATCACTGGGGGAAATTGAAAACTGTTTTCCCCGCGTTTAATAAATTCATCCCTCCAGTCCAAGTGTTGAAATTTCGTCTCTCAGACGAAGAGTAAAATATATAATAGTATAACACAATTTGTACAATCAAACAAAATCAATAAGTACAGCACGTTTACTAAAGAGGTGACTGAGTTAATCCACGATTTACCCACAGTTCTTCGTGTCAATGGAGATTATTCGATCAACATTTCAACATCAAACATCCAGGGAGAGATTTCAAGTTCAAATTTGTCTCTTAGTTTTGAACCCTGATTGAACATTTAATATAAATGTTTTTCTGTGCGAACTGAATTTTAAAAATCAGCTCCATGGATTTCAATGGTTAAATATCTGATGATGATGATGATGACAATGTGTAAAACACAGTAAACAAGATGAATTTTGTAGAACTAGTCGAGAAGACTTAAAAATAATAAATTAACTAAGTAATTAACGAACCTTGTAGCAGCCTCTAATGGCACCAATTACTCGTGACATTTCCAACCATAAAACCAGTTGCTAAATAAACTCATCCAGGGTCGTTTCTTAATCGCGGTTCGGCTACTCATAAATCGAACATTTTGCTACAAAGAATATGTCGGCTCTCTTTCAGTCTTTCATCAAACATTTCGCAATTAACGGCCCAAAACAACTCTTCACGTTGATGTTGCCCGGTTGACTTTAGCTACCATCTGGCAAATTATCTTTAAAAATTAACACACAAGTATGCGACGGATGAACACGAAGGTTGAGGTGACAGGAAAAGTCTATGGCACGCTTATATCACTCAACACGCATGCGTAACAGCTAAGGCCAGCTCGCTAATGCACATTGCGCCGACTGCGATTCCATTTAATAGAAGACCTATATATGATTGCGGCTAAGCGACTTGCGCATCTGGATGCGCGCACTTCTGCGCAACGCGCTCGTTCAGCTCATCCAGACCCGATCAAGACGGTCATTTTTACCATTTACCTATTTTTACGAATTGATATTCACGTCGACTAAATATAGGGAAGAATTGCACATGCTTATGTACAAAGTTGAAACTGGGTAGATTAAGGAACACAAAGTCAATCTGTTCTATGGTGCGAAAACGACAGAAAGTTGTGTTTTTTTCTTTTCAGTTCATTATTGTTAAAATAAACTCTGGCTCAGTCGGTATTCGCGAGTTCAAAAGTCCAGACGCCCCCCGGTGGCTAAAATTTCAACTACAAATTAAGTAGGAAGTTGACAGTTGTCTTGTTGACATTAGTGTTTACATCTAGTTGTGATTTGTTTTGTTTTGCTCTAATCGACTTTTGCATCCTTTTGAAGAAATAGAAACAGATCGAAAGTATCGTTTTATGTTACAAATGTCATCAAATCCAATAGATAAACAAGTCTGACTGTCTGACAAGTCTTAACTGTCACTCGACAGCGAGTAATTTGACGTTTCGCAGCGCCACCATCGGTAGTTGAACTAGCGAATTACTTTCAAAATTGTTGAACGTACGGCCTTGTGTGCATTTGTTTGACAGATTCATTATACAGTTTTATTCTTATGGAATGTCAACTGAGCTGATATTTTATTGAAAAAAAACTTAATATTTTGCTTTTTTTATGTATTTTCCTGGGTTTCAGTCAAAATGTGAAATACAAATGTTTATATCATATTACGTTTCGGCGAGACAACAGCGTCATCATCAGATTTAAAATTTACACAAACTCATGATTGGTAAAAATCAACGTTCTTTTA